AATGATAGACATTTGTGTGGCTTGTACGGTTTGGCATTTCCCTCATAAGGGAGGCAGCCACATGAAGCACACACATACATACGTATAATCGAACCAAGATTTTGATGTTACATGGTTTAAGAAAATGATACTTGTATGTTGACATGTTGAGCCTACATACCATAACATACAAGGCAAGTCATCACTCTCTCTCTCTCTCTCTCTCTCTCACACACACACACACACATATATATATACATATATATACATATACATATACATATATATATACATATATATACATACATATATATACATATATATATATATATACATACATATATATATACATATATATATATACACATATATATATACACACATATATATATATAAGGTTCAGGGGAAAACCTTAAACATTAAAAGTTAAGAAACACCATCATAACTATTCATCTATATGATATGCACATATAAATACAAGTAATTGAAGATGTTTTTTGGTTTTAATGTATGTGTGCATGTTGTGCATGTATGCATATTGGACAAATTATTTACAAGTTACTTGTATGCATATATGCATATTATGCAGATGAATGATTATTAGGGTGTTCCTCAATTTTTTCAAATTTTTGCGGTTTTTCTCTGGACCTGACCCTATATATAGAATAGGGGTTCTCGTGCGAAGGCATGTGCAAATGAATGCCTGGACTGCTCGATATCGATTACGCTGAAATTGTCTGTAATCGCGAACCTGATCTTCTTGAGTAGGAAGTTCGTCTTCACATAAACGAATGAAAGTATACGTTCAAGTCATGTAACCTTCACCGTATTCACAAAATTTAAAGTAACATTAACTCACATAATATAAAGTTACCTTCAACACTTTACATAATCTTCATAATTTTTTTCTCACGTGATCCTAAGTATGTGTTTATATATATATATATATATATATATATATATATATATATATACACACACAAATAAACTCACACCCAACTCACCTATGGTGAGGTTTGAACCCCTGACCTCCTAGAAGGCCAAGGGCTACGATACCGCTAGGCCAAAGGCCTTTTGGTAAAATGATCGTTTTTAGATGTAATTTGTTTTGCTATTTTCTTTGTTTTTCGCTGATTCTAGATTAACAATTTGAGGATATTTGTATTTTTTTTTTCATATAATATGGTTATAACCATCATTTTAATTACATCCATTAGATCATTTCAATTCAACGGTTTAAATGAGTTTTTCGCTTCTTTCTTTTTTAAGGATTCTCTCCCGATCTCATTATTACAAGAAGCAGCCACAATATAAATTAATACCCCACTCGTTTATTTTTATAGACTTTCATAGTAATATTTAATAAAAAGTGTCATATCAATCGTATAAATCAATAATTTGTTGTTCATCATGGTTCTAATAAACGTCTTTAAAAACCTTATTTTATCTTTATGCTATTTTGTTTTTAATGTTTGTTGTTGTTTCAATCATCATTTTAATACAAGATTTATCGTTTCCAGTTTAATTTTAATATTTGGTCTTGTAAGCATATCCAATTGTTTGGTAAAAACGACATTTTCCGATCTCACTGTCGATACGTCAAACGTATGCGTACCGATGGATTAACAACATAAATTTACATTATTGGATGTGGTTTTCTTAACTCTTTATTCAAAAATTTGATGAAGCATTTAAAAATCAAATCGAAAATTAATCCTATTGATTATATGAATGCAAGGAATAACCTCTTAAACGCTCGTTGATTGAAAAGATGTCAAACTTTAATCTCAACTCGAAATATAAAAAAGATACTCAAAATTTGGACGGAAAATGGAATGTTTATTATTGTTCATGTGACCATCCAACTTGCACAACCAACATGTAAATAACAGTTTCAAAAAGAACAGACTTGAAAAAGATGATGGACCAAGCATAAAAAGCCCAGATGAAAAATCAAAAAACAGAAAAGCGTCTCGAAACATGTTTAAACAACATTTTTCGGCCTCGAAAAATCCCCTGGGTTCCTTCGGGCCCTAGACAAGGTGTGCTACTCATTCTTAGCTTCGATCAGGCGTATCACAAGTTTCAGAGCTCCTGTAGCAAAAGTTACGCACTTAAACATGACATCCTCCATTAACCTGATCATGTATAATTTAGTGGTCTCAGTACCCTATTATGCATGACACGTCCTCTGATGTATGCATATATAATAAATTACACATATTTCAACTATCTAAAACGATGATTAATTTATAAAAATAAGTTAAATACAGTAGTTAGAAAGCAGCCAAACCAATAAACGATATATTTGAATTCATACGTAAATCGATATGAAATGTAACCAATTATGTGATGATTCAATGGTTTCATTAATGTTGGGTGACATGGTTACCCACGACCATTGATGCCATGGATGAAGACATTGCCTTTTTCTACAAGTTGTCTTTAAATCATCAAAATAAATGCTCATCCTCAATTACTTGTATCAAAATATCGTCTTTCACTTTTATTATTATTTTTTATTAAACCTGGATATCCAACCCGTTATGCAAGCCGACTAATCCCAGAACGACCACTTGTTTTGCGGATAGCTCGTGATCAACACATTTGAATCTCTGTGACCACAAGGGGTTTTTATTTCTCCTTGGATTTGAACATGAGACATTCTGACACTTTTGATCTTTGGAGTCAAGTTCAAACCAATCAGACACTATCTTTATGGTTCACTTTTATTATTTTATGTAATTAATTAATATTACATGTTGCATTTTTATATTATGAATTAAATTAATATCATATTTCCTGTGGCCCATAAAATATGCTTTTTGACATAACCCACTTGTCCATTATCCATTGTATATAT